TCTTTCTGGGATTAAAAGTGTAAAAGTGTCTTTATAGTTCCTGCATTTGGTTGTATTAATGCAACATACAAAAAGTTTCCTTTGGGAAGTTATTCCCAAGAGTTCTGACATTCCTCAGTGTAGTCATGGTGCTGTTGGCAACCAGATCTATGAGTGGGATGGTGGGTGACACAGAAGGTCTGAACACCACGCTGGAGGATGTCCACCCTCTCTGTGCCCCAAAGGAAGGAGGCATTTCTCACTCCTTTCCCTGGAATAACTCACGACAACCATGACTTGAGGCAAGATGTGAGACAGGACGGAGGGGGTTTGGTTTGATAATTCTCGTCCTATGCCATTAACTCCTCAGTGCCCCAAGCTGACTTTTCTCTGGATACTTGGAATCGGATCTGGCTCACAGAGCCTGTCTCCACAGGCTTCCCTGGGAGGCAAAGCTGTCACTTGTCCCCAGATCACACAGTTGGGCTCATGGAGGATCGTGCAGAGGTGTGTTGGGATCATGGGCTGACTGGAGCTAGAGGGGCTTCATTACAAAATCATAGAATCACATGGTTTGGGTTGGAAGGGACCTTAAAGCTCATCCCATCCCACCCCCTGCCATGGGCAGGGACACCTTCCACCAGCCCAGGTTGCTCCAAGCCCCGTCCAACCTGGCCTTGGACACTTCCAGGGATGGGGCAGCCACAGCTTCTCTGGGCAACTGTGCCAGGGCCTCCCCACCCTCACAGGAAACAATTCCTTCCCAATATCCAATCTAAACCTAACCACCACTCTAGAAGCTTACAGTGCTTCCCTGAAAGCCAAACCCCGAAGTTTTCAGTGGAATATTTCCAACAGAAAATGCACAAGGATGTGGGTAAATCTGGGAAACCTTTGGAAGAAGAATCCCAGCCCCACAGTTGACAAGGCAGTTGGTTGATGCTCCTTCCTTTATCCAAAGTTCATGGTGCTGTTTAGAGATCCTGCTCCTTCACAGCTGGTGCAGGGAGCTCTTGTTTAAAAAAATTCCAAACTCAGGGATGTGAGGAAGTGCTGGAGTTATCAGCACCTCCAGCCATCTTTGGTAGGACTCTGAAAGGCCCGGGGAGGGCATTATGCTGAGTGTTTATCAGGTGATGGATGATTAATAGGTCTTAGCACACAATGAATGTGTATCTCTCCTTCACATGCTAATCACATGGCATTTATAAATGTCAGCACCTTATCGTGGAGGCACACTCAGAATTCTGTGTGGCTTGAAAGGTATTTATTTTTTACCATTTTTAATGTGTGTATTATTAAGGTTGTGTCATTTGAAGCGTCCCTTGGGCAGCGATTTGGAAACACAGGGAGTTTTTATTTTGGTTTCTGAAGCAATCGAATTGTTGCATTTTCAATCTAGTCTAAAAAAATTCGCTGCAGATAATGATGTTTATCTTGTGTTTCCTTAACTACTAAAACGTGGCAGTGGGTGTCACCTTGGAATTTTAATAATGACAAAAAATAATTTATAATTACTGGACTGAGAAGCTTCAGGGTCTTCCCATTCTGCTTTTTTTTTTTTTAATGTTAAACTTCCTTGCTTCGCAACCTAAGGCCTTAATTTAGAGTTATAAATTATAGTTTTACCATTTGAGAATTGCATAATTTTCATGAAAAAAAATCCTGAATTTCATGAATTGGCCATAAAAATGTGCTTTATTATCAAATGTGAGTAGGGAGTGTGAGCCTCAAGGAATTTTTATAAAAGTTCGGGGAGAGTTTGAGTACAGAAAGTCCAGTGAAAATGGGAAGATTCTGAACTGGGCTGCTACTTAAGCTGAGCTTTTCAAACTGTGAAAGACTTTCTTTCCCAGCTATAATGTTCCTTCCCATGCTCCTTGAGGCAGGCAGAACTGCTGTTGTCTTCCAGAGGCTTTATGGATCTGAAGAATTTGGAATTAAACTGAGGAAATTAAGATTCCTTTAGAAATCTATGCTTTCAAAGCTGTATTTTGTGCCTGGACAGTGAAGTTGTTGAAGTAACACCTGAGGGCTACTTGGTGACATCAAGTTTGTAGGTTGATATCTTTGGTTCTCAACAATTTTGTCAGTGATAAATATCCACATTTTCAAAATACTTCATTAAAATTGGCAATAACTGGCATATTTGGCCAAAGATTGGATCATTTTGGAGCAAACATGGTCTTAGCATACACTGAATGTGTTATCTCTGAAAAAAGCACTGTGTTATGCTGGAAAAACACAGAGGTTTTGCTTCAGTCTCTTCCCTACTCCCAAACAGGACACAAGTCTCCAAGGCCATTTAACCACCAGCTTTCCTAGGCACTAAAATCACTCCAACCTTGTATAATGGATTTATTCTCCTACAAATCACCATGTGTGTTGTCACATGTCTGTGGGCTCTGGAATATTTACAGATCCCATCACAAATAATTCTCAAGCAGTTGCTGATTACTCTTTTCTCACTGCACCTCCTTAAAAATTATCCATTTCGTGCATTACCCTAAAATGAAGCTCCTACAAAGTGAAGCTGGTGATGGTTAAAAAGGAGGTTTTCTCCAAAATTCCTTGTAAGCTGTGTAGCTCCCTGTGTGACTGAGTTACAACAGCCCTGGACTTACACAACCTCTCAAAGGACTTTACAAATAGCCATCACCACGTAAAGATAGCCTTGGTATTTTAATTAAAGGTCAGACAAACCCACAGTGTAAACCTCGGCGATGGTTTGCAGCAGTCATTTAAAGCAGAGTTGCTTAACAAAGTCTCACTGCCTTAGTAAAACCGTGCCCAAACCTTGGCCGGGATTTACACAAGCTGCAGCCCGAGCAGAGGAGCCTCTGCCAAGTTCAGGCTGCGAGTTCAGCACCCATAAATCACAGCCCGCGTGTGCTTCACACCAGGTTGGAGGAGGCTGCGCTGCTTTACTCACCGCTCTGTGTTGGCACACAGGGCACTCCTCACAGGGTCTCCTCACCCCTCTGTAACCCAGGGCGGGACTTGGTGCCAGTTTTACCTCCTGCTTGGCCCTGCATCTCCATGTGACAACCTTCCCGGTGATTCCAAAGCAGTTTGTTTTCACCTAATTAACATCCCCGCGCTAAGGAGCGGAGCGATGCTCTGGCAGGAATCTCCCGGCTGTCAATCACAGCCCGGCTGCGCCGCAGCAGCTTCTGAAGGTCGCGCTGTAAGGCTTGATTCAAAGTGTCAGCTTTACTGTTACAACCGAGCTCAAAAACCCGCCAGGCAGTTTTCCTTGCCAGATTTATGAAGTATTTTAGACTATTTGTTCAAAGGAATGTGTCTGAATTTTAAACCGGAGGCTTTGATTGCTGACTCTTCTACCTTTGGCCTTATTTGTGGATTCGTTGGGGGAAAGGAAAAAAAAAAAAAAGAAAAAAGCAGGTGACCTGGTTTGCTTGTTCATTCAGGGGTGAGTTATAAGGTGTGCAGGGGAGGTGGCACGACCAAAAGGCTTTTCAAGGAAGCCATCTGTCTGCTCACACTGCTGCCCTGCCTTCACCTTTCAGATCTGATTTGCTTTCGGTTGCCACCCAGCCGAGGTGGGTGATGTTTTTTTCCCTGGATGTTGCGTGCTCAGATGGGTTATGATGATGATGTATTCAATGCATGTTCCCTTTGAAAAATTCGGAAGCACTTCCAGCGCTGATTTCCCTCCAGAGTTATTACACCCCACGCAGATTGGCAGCGCCGTGCCACGGTGCCAGGATTGATGAGGTGACCTTGGAGACACAGGCACTCCCAAATTGAAAACACTTGGCGCTCAACTTTGCTTTGGATTGCTGAGCAGGCTCCACTCCTGTATAAATCAGGAGGAGATTACACAAATAATACCCAACATTTATATAACATTTCATAGCACAAGGGGATTCTTTCACACACGGCCCGAGTGCAACACTCCTGCCTCCTCCAGACTTTGATTTGCAGTTGGGTCTAACCTTAAACCTTCAGTAGGACTCAGGAAAGGCAGCACTGGCCCCTCCTGCCCTCCCCATGAGCAGTGGACTCTCTTTAGGGCCACCTTCCATCATGAAGGTTGGGCTTGATGGTCTTGGAGGTCTTACCCAACCACAGTGATTCTATGGGATTTTAAGGGATCTGAGCATTTCTATGGGATTTTAAGAGCTGAGCATTCCCAAGGCACCAGGGTAGAGGCTGCTCAGGATTGGGCCAACTAAAGATGCTCCATTATTCCCAGCCTATGGAAATGCTCCACTGTGTTTTCACTGCTCCATGTGCTGCTGCCCAAGCCCTTGGACCCACAGAGCTGAGCCCTGCATGGGGCTGAGCTTGGAGTCTCCACCGGGGCAACCACCCTTCTGTGCTGCTCAGGCTGCTTCCCAACCTTTTGGAGTCTTTTGGATCCTTTTGAATCCTTTTGGAGTGGGGAGCTGCACTAATAAAGAGGCTCTGATAGATGGCAATGAAACATCTGAGTGAAAGAATGTCGAGGTGAACCTGTAAAGCAGCAATAAACACGAATCCAACCTGCACTAACGTTAATTGTCACTCAGTTTATATCGATGTGCAGTTTATTAAACCATAAAGCAAGGCAGCAAGCACAGAGAGCAACTCTAGAGATAATTAAACATAATAAGGGTTTCACTTAATCCCTCAAAACCCAGGGGAGGCACAGTTAAGACTGAATACCCTCTTTGCACTGGAAGGCATTTTTTTTTTTTGCACAGGCATTTAGGAGCATTTCCCGGGACAGAATTTCGGGACAGGGGCACAGGTAGGTCCCACTCTCACTTCTGAATACGTTTCTTTTTCTTTTCTTTGTGCCTTTACACTGCGCTGCTGATTAAGCCTGAACTCACGACTCTGAAAGCAGTTCGCGGCTCATCATTTGCATTGTGGTAGCAAGTAAAGACACTGATGAGGGATCCTGCGGAAGGTTTGGGAGCATCCCTGGGCACAGGGGTGCCAAAAGGGCTTGGAAGCGGCAGAGCTGGTCCCCAGGTGTGCTCCGCTCTCCGGCTCCTCATCTGCCTGCACGAGACACTCATTTCTCGGACGAGGAGGATCAGGAAGGGAAGGAAAGCAGAAAGTGGATGCAAAGGGCTGAGCGAGCAGGCGGGTGAGGAGAAAGGCTCCTTTGGAAGAGCGAGACAATTACAGCAAATTTGGGATTAAAACCGGAGGGCAAAAAAGCCGCGAGCGGTAATTTGGGACTCCAAGGTCTGCCGTCAGCGGGACCGGGACTGGGCGAGGATGCGGGAAAGGCGGGGAGCGGGACGGGAACAGGCTCGGGGCTGCCGCGGAGGATCCCGCAGGTGCGGGAGGAGCAGCACCTGGGCTGCAGGAGCGCGGAACGGGGCAGGGCAAAGGATGCTGCCCGCGGGTCGGGGACCGCGCCGGTGCCGCGCACACTCGCGGGAGGGCACCGAACGCTGCCCCGAGGCCCGGCGGGGCTCCGAAGGGGCATCGAAGGTGCAGCGAAGGGGCAGCGAAGGGGCAGCGAAGGGTTAAGCGCGGCCGCGCCGCCGCCGCTCCGCCGCCCGCCCCCCGCGCACGGCGGGGCCGGGGGTGGGGTCTGCGCGGAGCCCGCCCGGCCCCCGCCGCTGCCGCTCAATGCTGCGGCCGCGGGGCTGCGGGAGCTGCGGGAACACCGGGAGCACCGCGGGGCTGCGGGAGCGCCGGGAGCACCGCGGGGCTGCGGGAGCCGCGCCGGGCAGGGCAGGGCAGGGCAGGGCAGGGCATGTCCCCCCCGCCCGCACAGGTGAGCGCGGCTCGGCACCGGGAGCAGGGAGGGGGGCTTGGAAAGGGAAGAAAAAAATAGGAATAAATAAGGAAATTAGGAAAGGCTGCGGTTCGGGGGAAGGAGAGCGCGGCCGCGCTGCGGGAGCCGGCGGGGATGCGGGGCCGGGCGGACGCGGTGCCTGCCCCGCCGGGCTCCCCGCAGTGCCCCCGCGGCTCCTGGCCGGGCGGAGCTCTGTGCGGGGCTGTGCGCGGGGTCCGCAGAGTCGGCCCGGGCGGGGGTCGGTGCGTTGCCCCCGGGCACGGGGAGCGGGAGCGGCGGGACCGGGAGCATCCTTCGCTCCCTCCATCCCTCCCTCCCTGCATGCGCAGGGATGCTCCCGCCAGGCTGGCACAGACGCACGCAGAACTTTTTGCTGGCTAACGCGGCTGGAGTTGAAGCTCCTTTTGCCTTCCCCAGGCTGATGCTGCTCCCGTGTCGTGAGCAACATACTGCAGCGTGTTGTTTTATTTATCCCAGACAGGAATGACTTGCTCTCTAAACTACAAATTAAAGGATGCTGCTTGCATAACAAGTGGGAATAGTTGGTATCTTACATACTAATTATCCGTCACCTTTTAGGCTCAGCAAAAGAGGTTTTGTGGGTTTTTTTGCAAGGAGGGTTCGATAAAACCGCCTGATGTCTTATAGCCACGTATTCATTTCCACTCGCTGGATTAATGTGGGCAAAGGATTAAGAGCCAGCATGTTGATGAGGCACCCGGAGGTGCAGGGAAGCAGGGGAACGTTCGGCTGGGGAGAGAAGTCAGTTTTTGTGTTTGTGCTGGCGCATCCTCCCGTTTCCATGGCTCAGTTCAGGACCTGCATCCCAGCCGATAAATCACTGAGGTGAGAGCAGGGACTGGTGCAAGGCTCCGGTTCTAACGCTCGTGCTGCTCCAAAGGTCCTTCCCGACACGGTGTCCAGCACGGTGGGCAGAGCTGCCCTCCCACCCGCCGTGGGGCTGGAGGTGCTGTGACACATCCCAGTGGCATCGTGGCTGTGGGAGCCCCTTCCCCGGTGCCTCTGGCTCCCTGCAGCAGCTCCAGCCCGGGTGTGCAGGTGATGCTCCGGCCGCACCGTGGCCGGTACCGATCGTGGGCAGCGGGGTGGGGGCGTCTGCACCTGGGACCAGCCAGGTGGTCCCTCCAGAAGCTTTTTCTGCTGCTTTCCTGGCCAGGACACTGGTTTTTATTCTTTTCTGGACCCGAGGAGCTGCATTTTTACCCCGCGTTTGTAAGTCCCTGAAAACTGCTTAAATGGCTCTCGAATAATCCTTCAAAGTCACCTCCCCTCTTTAATCTAATACAAAAAGGACTTACTTTACATGGCTAATCCCTCTTTTACTTGCTGTACAGCCTCATTTAGAGGTGTGCACACTGCTAATTTTCCCAAAGCAGGCTGCTCTAGACAATGGCTTCCACTGGTGTGCAGCAACCTCTCCCTCCTGTGCTGAACTCTGGGCAGAGCTGAATCCCTCTCACAAGATTTTACTTCATTTCAGGAAGGGTCAAGTGAACTAACCCTTCTCAGAAAGCCAAACCAGACACTGTTTAGTGTGTATTTGTAAATACCACCTCTTGGGAGGCTCCCAGGGTCTCCTGCCCCACGTGCCCATAGCCTGGAGGCAGCACTTGTGTGGTGAAGGGCTGCAGGGAGCCAGGGTGTGCCTGCAGGTAGCTGGAGTTGAATGATCCTGGCTAAACTCTGGGGAGCTGGAAGTTCTCCCATCCCTACCTTCTGCAGTGAGTTGAGCTCTCTGTAGCCCATCCAGCGCTCCCAGAATTTTCAGCCTGTGCTGTTGTGCGCGGTGACAGGACGTGTGTTGGGAATGTGAATGACAGTGGAAGAGCAGCTCACCTTTGCGAGCAGCCTCGTGGCAAACCTGATGGAATGATGCAACCCTTCAAACCCTGACTTTCCATGGGGTAACAGTGGTGTCTGGAGCTCCTCAGCCTCTCACCTGAGCTCACCGGGGGTGTCCGAGGAGGGCAAGTGTGTCTTCGGTGTGGTGGGAGGAGGCGAGTGGTGACGTGTCCTGTTCCCTGAGCCACAGGACACCTTTGGCTGTGGTGTGGCACAAGCCCTCTGGGGTGGGTGGTCTCTGAGACCACAGCCACCCTTCCCTGGGGTGACCTGAGTTGTATTTCCAGTGTTAATCCCTCCAGGGTTTGATTCCTGCTTGCTGATTTTCAGCCCTTGGCTGAGGAGCGTTGTTGGAGAGGGAGGAACAGCAGCACTGGCAGCACCAAACAACTGGTGAGAGAGCCCTCCTTGGTTCCCAAACTTGCACCTCCTCATGTAGGGAAAGTGTTTCTCGTTGCCATCCAAGTCTTTTTTTATTTGGATTACCATTTCTTTGATTTCAAATTCACTCCTGTGTTACCCCATCAGGGACATCCAGAAAGCAGGGCTGAGCTCATGAAAAATTTCTACCACAGATGCAAAACTTCAGAATAATTTTGTAGCTATTCTGGTGCCATGTGATTTATTTCCCTTGGGTTAAGGAGTTGGCTTTGTCTGACAGTTCTGTGTAGTTAGCTGAATTTAAAACAATATTTAAAAATCAGAGGTAAAGACAAGGCAGAGTGAAGGAAGGATATTAACCATGAGATAACTAAATTGCCTTTTTATTTGCTCTCGTGGTCTTTCTGAGTTGTATTTGCTGGGACATGATGGAAGTGGCTGGTCCCCATCAGGGGCAGGGGTGGACACAGCCCTGGTGCTGTGCAGGCCCTGCCAGGGAAGATGCTACTCCTTAAAAATACTCTGCTGGGTTTGAAAGTCCATAAATCATCCCAGGTCTATTTTTAGGTCTGTTAGATTAGAGCAAGTCTGGGGTTTCTTCCCGCTGTGGCCTGAAATGACCCCATAACACCCCTGTAACAGCAGTTCACACACTCCCTTTGATGCTGCTGCTGCCCTGGTGTTCAGCCCCGTGGTTACACAGAGGATGAGCCTCCCTTTGAAGAGGATTTGGTGCAACAGTTGGGAATTTTCCTTCCCATGCAGCAATTGGGAGTCTGCAGCTTGGTGTGTGAGTGATGTGCAGCCCCTGACAGGAAGGTAATCACAAACACAGCAAAGTGCCATGAATCACCCCAAACCCACAAATGTCAGCTCTCAGGCTCTCCTAGGCGTGCTGCCAAGATTTAAACTTGCACACATCTTCCCTGTTATCTGCTGCAGTGGTTACTCAGGTATAAATAGGAATATCAGGACAGTAGTGATTCATTCTTTTTATTATTAGCAAGGCAAATGTATGATGATGACACCCAACTGATTTAGTGTTTCACACCATTGCACAACTATTCCCTGTCTCCTCCCATCATCCACCAAAACTGGGGATGTTAAAACAGAAGCTCTTGTGTCAAATCTGCTTGTAATCTAAATACAAATGAGGTTCACGTTCATTATGAACCGAGAGGAGTATTTTATACACTGAACAGGGTGTTGTATTTGGGAAATAACTTCATTCTTTGCCATTCCCTAGATACAATCATTTTATCTTAATCTGCAGGATAAAAAAATCTGCTTCGACATGACACCAAGAAAGAGAAAGATTTGTTGGGGTGTTTTTAATTGCTGGGTTAAATCAATGAAAATCAAGCCCTCAGAACAACGAGGTCAAAGTATTTGGAAAACGATCCAGTGAGTGTCACGTGCACAATTCAGCTTTAGGAAGGCAGAGCACAAGGAGCAGGTTTTGCCTCCATCCTGCAAAGGAAACTGGGATTTTTGCTTAGGTACATAATTACAGCATAGATGTACCAGCATGTGGCCTCCAGTGAGGGAAGTGATACACTCACTGCATTATTCCAAAAAAATGTTGGTTTTTTTTTTTAATTGACTTAAAGAACTCAAGGTTTCAAAAATGAGGTTCTACCACATTTGTTTCTTCTATTAATTCTTCCCTAAGCTCCCAGTTGATCAGCAGTTGATACTCTATCACTTCAAGGTTTTGCTGGAGGTGTCTCAGATGTGGCCAAACATCTTTTAATGAATAAAAATTTGGATCCATCCAGTCCCAAGCTCTCCTGAGATGTATTTACTACACATTAGAAGTGCCAGGATGGTACTCCAGCACCTTTCCTCCTCTTTGGTTTTCCAGTGGTTTCAGTGAGACTCAGTGGACACAACTGTTATTAACCCCCACATTTGGGCTTTCCCCATCTGTGTTTGCTGAGCCAAGATGTGGTTGAAAGACTCAACTTTTAGGCTTGGCTTCCTCCAGATTTTCAGGAGACAAGTTAATCCTGAGCTGCTTTTAACTCCAGACTGATTTACTTTTCCAGCAGTTCTATCAGTGTAAGAACTCTGTCAGACAAACTCTGTGTTTA